AGATTTGACTCCTAAATTACGTATCGCCTATGTGGCAAATTAGTCACACTTAACATCATCTCAATAAAATTTCCTGTTTTATTGGTCAATAATCATTAGCTGATAATATGATCATGACAATTGTGTGGCAAATGTTCAAGAAGAATCTTCACAGCAATGAACCGGAACACTTAAAATGCTTTCCCATTGGATCACATAAAGGCGATTTAGAGAGGAAATATGCTACTATTTAGTGGTTGCCATTTATTTTAAATAAAATATTTACTGTCGCTGATATTTGACAGCAAACAGGTTCTGGTCACAAACCAGTCATTGCTAGTATTACCATCGGCGGCAAAAGCATGACAAGGAAAGTGCCAACTAAGCTATCATGGAACTTCAAGAAGGCTGACTGGCCTAGATTCACAAACCTTTTAGACAATGAACTTCACACAAGTCCCCTCAACTTCAACCAACATCCTGACAAACTTTGCAAAGATATCACGAATATTATGATCAGATGTGCAAAGAAAACTTATTGTTTAGTGATTGCAATTTATTTTAAATAAAACATTTACTGTCGCTGATATTTGACAGCTTTATTAGTAAAACAATAGGTCCGTGAAGTGAACCGCATATTAATTCTTAAAGGTGATGTAGTGAATTGCATGTATTTTGCCTACTCGTATTTCATTTAAAGTATTTTATGTCCATGATTAATTAAACTGCAAAATTTGAATGACGACGCCAATCCTAGCAAGTTAGTATTAAAAAATCTAAATTGGCATTGTCTAAAAATGTACTTAATGCGGTTGCCTAAATGGAGTAGTGTTATAAAGCAGGATTTTATTCATGCATGAGGATAAAATTTGTGTTTACAAAATATCGGTTTCCAAATTGGAGTGCGGTGGTAATATCTTTTTTATCTAAGTATCATCTCAACAGGATAATGATCACTAACTTCTTGGGCCTGAAAATGAATAAATATTTAAATAAACAAAAAGAAAATAGGGTTGTATTATTTTTTCCATTGACAAACCTTTGCCCTACTGAGACCTAATTCTTCTTCAAAATTCACGGCTTCTGCGGAGATCACTTTGGAGAGCAATTGTTTGCCAGTAACAATTATCCTGCATGTTTTAGAAATATTGAAAATGGTTAGCGACTTGGATAAAACATTTATAACAATTTTAACCTAATTTAATAATTGATTGTAACCTAAGCAATGAGAATTGAGCAATACAGGTTGAATTTGACAAGAGAAGGTTCCAACGAATTAGAAATTAGTTCATGACCTTGAACAGAGCTTATTTCTTCATGTTTCAGCTTTCCAATTCTCGGGTTTGTCTTCTGTTTCAACAAATGAAGTCATTTCTTAGCTTTTAAGTGGATATTGAATTTATGTGGTTGGTTTGTCGGATCAAATAACATGTTTAATTAATCAAGAGCTCAATTATCACTTTCCACAGTTGCAGAAGTTTGCTTCCATCAAAGAAATTACTAATACATTCCATGGATACATAATGTAATCTTTGCATTATGCATTAGGTACTGAAATGCAAAAGTTCACAATCTAGGTAAATTGCAAATGCGTTGAACATAAAAGCATTTTAATAACTTATTAAAATGTAATTATGTTATTATTATTATTATTACTGATTTTTTAGCAAACCTATCATATGCGCAAGATGAAGAAGCCACTGTAGTATCCTCTTCGTCAGGAACGAGCCATTTATAAGCAGGATCTGACTTCAAACGCAGTGATTCCCGCCTTTTTCTTGATAAGTAGTTGCAATCCGCATTCATATCTCCCAAAATTATCAAATTCTATAAAAAGACAAAAAATAAAAGACATATCTCCAACAGTAGAACAAATTGAGGTCAAATTTTTAGCAGTACATAGCTAAGAGATGTTGAAGCCGGAGTCAAGTTTGTCTAAAAACCCCACATTATTTGAAGTTTTGGAATCGAGTTGACTAAATTCGAATTTCATTAAGCTTTTTCACGATTTCGGCACATTTCCATCAATTATTTGTAGACATTGTAGTCTTGATGTGCATTCTTGTCACGTCAATTCGATTAATTTCTTTTAAATGGCTTTTTAAATTGCATCCACCAAATTGGAGTCTTGACATAGCAGAAGTGGCCCAGGTCTCGTTGTTTTAGACACCATTTCATTCCCCCCAACATGAGCCTTTTGACGGAATTAAGCTTATTATTTCACTTACTTCAAGGTAATTTTAGCAACTTCTAGAGAATAATGCATAAATTTTGTCAAGATTGTAGAAATCATGCATTATTGGAAGTCGAAAAGCTTTCAATACGCATATTTGGCATAAAATTATGAAATTAATACCTAGACAAGCATAAACATGTTTTCACAAAAACCAGAAGGCTAGTTACCTCTGTTTGGCCTAACTCTTTGCATTGAGGTGCAAGGTCGTATAGACCTTCCATTTCACGAACTACGTGATCTGGATCCAAATGCGCGGCCATCACGACCATCCTTATCTGTGACTAAAGGAAGCGTAGAATTTGGTTTCATATTATCCGAGGTCAGCATAATCAATAATTAGAGCATTGAACTCACTTGTTGAGGTGTAATCACGAAGCAATCTGGTGGCCTTTCAAACAGATCACTCGTTATTCCGATTAATTCATTTAATATAATCTCCCTTGGCCTTTAAGAAAACACAGATATGCTTTATTAGGCATTTTTCTAACCAGAGCAATTATCAAAATGAAAGCGAGTTGGTTTTCTCAATAATACAACAAAATCGATTTGTGATTATGCCATTTAGAGTATAGAAAATGGTGTTCTCATACTTGTACATGAAACCAATTTGCTCTTTTATATTAGATTTGCCATGTCGTGGTCCCACGACTCCTTCGTAGTGAGTTTGCCACGTTTTACTAGTGAGAAGATAAAAAAAATATATATTATTATAGATATTTCATTTACAGAGTATGCTTTGATTGTGCATTTTGAAATTGTGAAAGTATGGTTGGCTATCTACTTGTGGACTCAAGACGGTTGCTTTGAAGAGATGCACATCATTAGTTATCGATTTAAAGGTACTCTTATGAGGCTGGCTCTATAGTAAGTTACAATTAATAAATCGAGTTATCGAATATCGATTGACGCTGACTTCATTTCACTTATAAAACTTTTTTGCCGATTGCTGATGGCTAAATAATTGTGTTCCGCAAGGAGAACTCTTCCTTTCCAGAGAACATGGACTGCCCAATGTTCTAAATTCAAAGAAAACAGGATTTCGGGTTTTCCGGCCTGACTATCTGGTTGCCACTCTCAATATCTTATTTGATCTGTTCACTGTGTACATCATCCGTTTACTTCCATATAAACAACTTAGAGATGCTTCTTGTTGAGCCATTAGTGATCAAATTTGAGCTTAAAAATGATTAATTCGACGCTTATTTTCTCACTAAAGCACTAATCAATTATAAAAGTGGTTATTTTAATGAAGCCAAAAATTGAATCAACTAAAATTTCTTCTGGTGTCCTGAGTACTTTTGCGATTCTTCCCAATCAACCAAAAAATAATACATTAACTTTTCGGGGTGTAGGATAGACTTGCCTCCTCGTGATGAACCCTGGGAAACGTATAATCAAACGGCAAAAAAGTCTATTAACCGGTGGTTGACTTTTCACTTCAAACTACCATCACCCCAACTGTATGTCATATTCAACCCCTTCCACAGTACTCATCTTACCCTTTCTGAGCCCTTACGTCTGTCTGTTTCTTTTACATCTGTGAATCACTCTTCTATTCCCCCTCCCGAATTCTTCCCACTTTGATGTTCCTCCTCCCCTCTGTGAAGCCCGAAGTCAACTAAAGGGCTAATGATAACTATCACAACGCCTGCCATTTGCTATAAATAAATAAATAAAATAGTATTTTAGGTAAATTAACACTAAATAATTGAATACCTTAACAAGGTCTCATAAAAAAGGAATTCCAGGACTACAAGTTGTCACTGAAGAAACATGTAATAAAGTAGTCAATAATGCTTAATATGTACTAGTGTGGAGCCAAATAGTTATTTTAAGGGCCCGAAATTGAATATCAAGGCAGTTTATATGATTTTATATTACTGGATTATGAAGAATAGTAATTTTTGCGCATATGTTTATTCATCTGTTGAAACACCAATCATGGCATTATCGACGTAACCAACGCAATTTGAAAATCAGGTTACTTAAAATCAATAGAGCACCAACACCAATTCAGCGAATTTGTTTAAATTGCCAAATTCGTAATGTGAACCTTCAAGGCCACCTTCACCAACTTAATTTTAATTAGCAATAACTTTAAAAGACCGATTAACATTCAAGAAAGCGATTTTCCTTGCTTTTAGTAAGACCATTTATACCGTACACTTTTAATTATTCTTTACCATCCAAAAAAGTAATTCTTTAGATAAAATACCTTTAAAAACCAAACTCAACTCAATATTAACTGATGAAAACCTTAGTGATAAAGAATTTCGTGGGTATGTCTACTACTTCAATTTTAATGAAATTCTTTTCCTCTTCATAATTTAATTTAGAACTGGTAGATAATTCGATTTATTTCTCTCAGTTAATATTATTAACTATTAGTATAAATTAACGTTTTCATTTTATTACTGCAGCTTACCCACAGAGTGCATTGACCATATTCAACAATTTTTGAAATGCGCTTCCACTCTTCTCCCTGATTTCCTGAATAAAAACTCCATCGAATCTGCAAATAATCTTTGTAAATATTTAAAATCTAATTAATTTTTTTCTCCTCTACTTCTGCTAGAATAAGCATAACATCCGACTTCCTCGATTTTGAGGCTCCAAAAACTTGTATGTTGAAAGTGGCCAGTTTTAGAGTTTGCCTCGGTGGCATCAGAAGAAGTAGAAAAAGAAGAAGAACCGAGGGCAAAATGAAAGAAGCGCGCATAGTGACCTTGGCAACGCAAGTGTAGCAACGCGTTTTTCCACTTTAAACTTGTTCTACTTGCATGCTTAACCTTTTTTTATAACCATGACGTGCTTCATCTGATTGGCTACCGTTAGGTAAACTTTAGTATGTGCTTTATTCCAACCCATAAAAAGTCCTTTGTTAAGGTAAATTGGGAGGTCAAATATGGATTCATGCACTTTCTTTGAGTTTTACTAATTGGGACATGCTTCACTAGCTATCGCCAGTTAGAGTTTAATGGAACTAAGTCAGGCTGAACATTAACAATAACAATCGATTTTATCTGTGAGTATGACATCCATTTTGAAAATATTCATCATTGGGATGTAAAAAGACGCGGATATTACAACCTTGACCACAGTAATGGGAGAGCATCTACCTTCATTGATCATTGCAATCTTCTCACATCCCTTCAAACCCCTTACCATGAGTACGAATAGGTTCTTTATTGCCTGATGTATGTATAATGGCAATAAATTTCAAAATAGAAGGCAACTACGCTAAGCCGTATATTAACAATGAATCATGACCTTGATTTTACTTATTTATTAGAAGAGGTGCGTTATAGACTTACCTCCATGTGGTACAGCCTGGGTAACTTGTACTCATACTGCAAAAAGACAATAAACCGACTCTTGATTTCAAACTGCCATGACTCCACTGTATATTATATTCGACCACTTTTACAGTACTCACCTTATCTTTATCTCTGCCTTTGTCCCTGTCTGTCTCTTTAACATCTGTGAATCATTATTCTATTCCCCTCCTCTCCACTTTTTCTCACTTTGATGTTCCTTCCCTTCTGTGAAGCCCAAAGTCTACTACAGGTCAAATGATAACTATCGTAAGCCTGGCCAGTTGATATGAATAAATAATTTACTAGGTTTGAGAAACGTTGCCTTCAGTTTACTTATGTCGCTTCAAATAAGTGGGCAGAGTTGAAAAGAAAGTCAGAATTGATATTTTAAACAATAAATTCATTTAATCCTGTATCGTAAATACGAAGTTAAAAGGTCATTCATCCACCAATAGGAAGGCGTTATAGCTCAAGAAATTGTAAATGTTTCGATCGAAAGTTAGATTACTCTGAGTTGCACTTTCTAGAACCTCCTCCTCCTTGCCCCCCCACTCCGCTCGTGAAGGGTCGAGAACCAACCGATGTATCATTCTTGAGCAACCATAGAACAGTTCCAAGTGCTCCAGGGTCTCCAATCTCTAAGATAGCGTCTAGTTGATCACCACTAACTTCAGGAAGTAACTTCGCAATCTGTTGCCTGTATTTATGCATTTGGGAGAGAACTTCCTCTCGACTGGCCAACATCTCATCTCCAATGTACCGAACTAATCCATGAAGCGCCTGTTGTCCCAGGTCGATTTCTGAGAGACGATATTGCATCGCGGCCACACTGGTGGGTGAGGCGAAAATGGATAAACAATAAATTGCTTTATTATTTTCAAAATCAAATTTCTTAAATTTTTACAAAATTTGTACAGATACTGGTTTTCAAACAAATTGTAAAAATTATTTCTTGAAACGTGTTTGAATTCATTTTACAACGTATGTTCTATTTTCGCATATGCACTTTTGTAATCTATACTTCCATCTATGAATTCCCTCGTAGAATTTTGGGTGTGTCTCTACCATCATGAAATTACATACATGTGCACCTCAACCAAAATGCCTTAAAGGTGTATTGTTTTCAGTTTTGAGCGGTGTGCGATAGACTTGCCTCCACGTGGTGCACCCTGGGCAACGTATACTCATACGGCAAAAAAGTCTATTGATCGGCAATTGACTTCTGACTTCAAACTACCATCACCCCACTGTATGCCATATTCGACCCCTTTCACAGTACTCACCTTACCTTTTCTCTGCCTTTGTGTCTGTCTGTATGTCTCTTTTACATCTGGAAATCATTGTTCCGCCCCCCTCCCCCTCGAATTTTTGTCACTTTGATGTTCCTCCTCCTCCTCCTCTCTGTGAGGCCCGAAGTTAGTTAAATGGCTAATGACAACTATCAAAACGCCTGCCATTTGAAATAAATAAATAAATCAGTTTTGAATCCAAACAAAAAATTCTGAGGGAGCTAGGTCTAGACTATAAGAAGGACGTGAAAGTGTTCCCCGTCGGAAGTTGCTCAACAAGGCCCTGACAACTCTTGAAGAATGTGTGGAGACATTGTCATGATGGCACGAAATTTGGAGAATGATGTCTTCAAGTTCGCTAAAATGCCTTCATAACAACTTGAGATGACCGTTTTCTGTTCTTCTAGAAAGTCTATTAATACGTATCCCTCCTTTTGAATCCCAAAACACAGGGACCATGACCATCTTCTAGCACCTTCTAGTTTTCAAATTGACAGGCCCAGTTGCTCCATTTGGATGTCACTCTTTTTTGCTGACTCTTGCCTTCTGGATCAAATGGGTAAACTCAGGTTTCATCCCCAGCTTACAAATTATCCTCATGTGCTTTCATCTTTGCCACAGTTGGTAAAGAAAGATCATTTCTTTGAATCAGTTGTTGCTCCTGCAACGCTATTGAAACCCGCCATGCCCCCCCCCCCCACTGAAGCCTTGCTCAAGACAAGATTTTCAGGTAGAATTGAATATACTGATCTGTGTGCGATTAGTATTTCATTGGTAACTTGTCGATCTTGTTCCAGCCCTAGATTCCGTACAAGTGAGATATTGTCTTGATTACTTGCTCTAGTCTTCCTCTTCGTGGACCGTCATCAACCTGCATTCCTTACTCTTTAAAGCGTTTAATCACCCTATCCTAAATTATTTTTCTACTTACCTCAGTGACCGCATAAACCTGTCACAAAGCTTATATAATCTTCCCTCCCACTTCTCGACTTGTTGTGACTTTGTAGTTCCTCACCTCTGTGAACCCCGAAGTCAGCTAAATGGCTTATGATAATTATCAAAACGCCCGTCATTCTATCTAAATAAATGATCCCATAATTTGCCAAAAAACGTGTTTGAACTTGTAAAAACTTGTCGATTCTTGTTTTTTGAAAATTATGCCATTTGTCAGAGAATTTTTGCCAAAATTGGTATAAAACGGACTAGAATTTGCTAAAGAACTTTATGGGAGTCCATATTTGGCATATCTATTACCAAGAGAAATATTTATAATAACCCTGGCAACATGCATATATTCTTGATCGGAACAGATATTTTTAGAAAGTTCACTTTTAGTATTACTGTTAGCAATAACAAAGTACATTCTAGTGTTTGGAAACCTATTATGTGCTGAAGGAGAGAGTATTGACAATGTCTGAGATCAGGATCAAATTAGTGAGGTGCCTTACTTAATTTGGACATTTTGTGGAATAGGGTGGAGCAACATGCGTTTAGATTGACAGTTCATGGTTCAAAGCATTCTTCAAAACTCCGTTTTGGCACATTTTTAATCATGATGGTCGACAGGCCACTTCTGATTGTTTTTTCTTTCTGGGTTGGAAGCCAAAATGACCTTGTGAGATAATCAACAAGTTACAGTCTTAGCATCTCAGGTTCGAGTTTGTTTAATCATACTCAACAAACATTTTGCATGCTCTGGTGGGAGTCTAACTTTGTCAATCAACCATTGTGCTTTCTCATGCAATTAATGCTAATAAAATGCAAATAAATGCAAGTATTGGTCTTTTATTTACACACAGTTGCTCTAAAAGCCTGAGAGCAGGAAACTTCAAACAGTGAAGTCCTTAAGAGCGAGAGAGGAGAATTTGATCGCAACACGAGCTAAGTGGAGATCTTGGTTTCAACTTTGGGACCTAAAATTCCACCCACCCCCCTGTCCCACTCCTCTTTCTTCTCCTCAGTAAAAGTTTTTTCCTTGAAATCTGAGAACTTCAATTTCAACCCGCATTCCAATGATTTCTCCTTGTAGTGGACTAATTGTTCCTCGAAACTGCCACCTCGGTTATTGAGGCTTGAAGCCACTGTGGAGCACACAATCCTGGAAGGTGCCGTTGTGTTTGCAGAGGACTTCTCAACTAGTCAGTTATTGAGGTTCATTCAAGTTGAATATATTCAAGCACTAATCGTGCTTGATGATGTTTCCTTCATATCCTTGAGGTAGATCGACCAACTCCAAGCACTCGGCTACACAAATGTTCAATGACTGGCTTTTTTACGTATTGTCAATGATGGAAAGATAAATCCAACATCGTTAGTTACAAATTCGTGAGGATGTAACTTACTTGGAGCTGATGTTTTCAAGCCGCACATTCGGCTGTTCATTCTCATTGTTCGCTGACTCTCGACAGTAGTCTTGGACGCATTTCTCCTCAAAATCATGCAGCTTCTCAACTTCCTCCTTGTGTAAAAATAGCTCTGAAATGGAAGGAATGTTAGTTTACGGGCAACTTGTAAAAATTTAATTTTAACTGCATTTTGCGCATCAAATAAAACAGCACTTTTAAAGGAATCTAGTGAGCTCTACTGGGATGGAAATTTATTGGCAACTGCATGATCTAAACCGCAAAATAACACCTTTGTTTTTTGGAAAAAGTGGAAAGTGATTCAGTAAACGTCATTCGACCACTAATAAGTGGGAATTTGAGTCCTTTCCTCCTCTCAGCGCTTCATTGTTTTTTCCTTAAATTCATAAATATAGGCTACCAAATTTCGGGTTTAGTTTGCTGCTAGCTTTATGATATATTTTCATCAAATGGCAGGCGTTTTGATAGTTATCATTAGCCCTTTAGTTGACTTCAGGCTTCACAGATGAGAAGGAACATCAAAGTGAAATAGGTCGAGATTAGGTGGAGGGGGACAGAAGAGTTTTTCAAAGATGTAAAAGAGACAGATACAAAGTTGGAAAAAAGGTGAGGTGAGTACGGTTGAAGTAGTCGAATTTGACATACACTGGGGTGATGGTAGGTTGGAGTCTGAAGTCAACTGCCGGTTAACAGACTTTTTTGCCGCATGAGTATACGTTGCCCAGGGTGCACCACGTGGATGTAAGTCTATCGCACACCCCCTAGCCTTATGATAATAATTAGTACTTTGAGTTAGACGTGTCATATCAGCTGAAGACAGGGTCTTTATTGGTGGTCACCATTTCGTTCATCGCATTGAGAGGTCAATGAACGCCCGTCAGTCTGCACTACTTCTGGCAAATCTACCGCATTTTGATTTGCCATATGCATTCTGAACTTAACGAGTACTGTCTCTACCTCCGATCAATTCAAACTTCCCTGCAGATTGAATAGTCAATTGTTGAATTTCTCGTAGATCCAAAGAACCAAATCTC